AAGGTTAAGAATATTTGCTTTAATAAGAAGCAGTGAGGAGAAGGATGCTCTAGCAAGGTCCTAGAGCAGCAGCCGCCTCCCTGTGACCCAGAAGCCCTGAGCTCCCAGAGCCAGTCATAAGGCTCAGGCTGTTATTGGCACTGCAGTCAGCAGAGGCTCCTCTCTTTGTGAGCCTCAGCTCAGCAGCTCTGCCCTGAGCCCAGCGGCAGAGAGTCAATGTGATCACCTGCTTCTCTTGTTGCTATGGGTTACAGAATGAAGCTCACAAGAGCGAGGACAAGCACCCTGAGTAGAAATAAGTGTGTTAGCTCCCAGAAAAAAAAAAAGGGAAATTGGAAAAAAAAAAGAAGGGGGGGAGTTGAAAAATAACATGCAGAAGAACAAAAATCAGTGTCTTAGTGTCCTGAGGTGGTCTGGCCAGTTAGCCAGGAAGGCATGCTGCCCAAGACCCAGAAGCTTTCATAAATACATGGGGTGCCCACTGTATGTGAGCCTATTATTGTCCCTTCATCCTAATTAGCTCTTAAAAGAGGTGGAGGAAAAAGGCAAATCTCTGTGGGAATGCCATTCTCCAATCTCCATGGACCTAACTCTTAGATCTAAGGTCCACCCTGGAGTGAGGAAGGTGAGGGGGGTGGGGAAACAGTCATTAATAAGTCAACAACTGTTTTAAAGCTCACGGTATATCTAATCTTGTACACTACCACCTAGGCACTGTGGAGAGATACTAAAGAAATAGAGGACAGAGTCTTCATCCTTGAGAAGTTTACAATCTAATTAAGGAACGTGAATCTATAAGAAAGAGGTGGGGGGCAAAGGGCTATACAACCATATACTCCTGTTGTCTGATGGCCCATCAGGGAAAATTTTGAGAGCCTCTTGTGGTAATTGACCATTTCTACAATAGAGTCCCAAGAAACTCTTGAGCTGGAAACACTCTTAAGAGATAAAGAGCAACCTTGTTGTTGTTGTTGTTTGGGGTTTTCTTGGCAAAGGTACAGGAGTGGTTTTCCATTTCCTTCTCATTTTATAGATGAGGAAACTGAGGCGATCAAGGTTAAGTGACTTGCTCAGGGTCACACAGCTGGTAAGTGTCTGAGGCCAGATTTGAACTCAGGAAGATGAGTCTTCCTGACACCTGGCCTGGCACTCTATCCACTGTGCCACCTAGCTGTCCTCAAAAAAGAGCAATCCCATTCTCTTGCAATTGAAGACATTGAGAATAGACTAGAACTGAATTGTTTAAAGTGACACAGCTAGTTAAGGAAAGAGCTGAAACAGGAGCTCTGGGTTCTAGTTTCAACTTTGTCACTAACTAGCAGTGTGACTTTGGCCAAGTCAATGTATCATGGGATCCAAAGTTGTTTTTTGTGTACAATGTCAGGATAAATAGAAGGAAAGAAGGGAGGAAAGAAAGAAAGAAAGAGAGAGAGAAAAGAAGAAGAAAAAGAGGAGGAGGAGAAAAAGAAAGAAAGAAGAAAGGAGGAAAGAAGGAAGGGAAGAAGGGAGGGAGGAGGAAAGAAAGGAAGGAAAGAAGGGAAGGAGGGAGAAAGGAAGGAAGAAAAGAAAGGAAGGAATGGAGGAAGGGAAGGAAGAAGAGAGGGAGGGAGGAGGAAAGAAAGAATGATTAACAATAGTTAATTTCATCCTTATATTTATATCAGTTTTAAAGTAAGCAACTGATATGATAATTCCATTTTTCTTTAGACCAAAGACAGCAAGTTTTTTACTAGAGGAAAGCAAATTGTTAGTCAGCTAACTCTCCCTAGGGCCATAGATTTGGAACTGGAAGGAAACTAGTGGTCATGTTGGAATGCCTTCTTTTAGTGATAAGGAACCAAGGCCTGTAGAGATGAAGTGATTTGCCCAAGGTCACACTGGTATTAAGTTGCAGAGCTAGGATTTAAACTCAGGTTCTCTAGTCCCCAATCAGCCCCTTCAGCTGGATCACTTCAGGTGGGACAGATTTTTTTTCTTTCATTTTCATAAAATAAAGGCTGTATTTAACCCACTCTTTTTTTTTTCTTTCTCTAGACTAGGAAGGTGGGGGAGGAGAGACGTCATCATCATTATACATTTCTGGGGCAGTTTGGGTTCCATCCTCATCCATTTGACAGATAGATCATAGCCTCTGAGGAACTGCTTCACTCCTTTGTCACTTAGGTTTCCCAGCTCAGAAAAGGAAAAACACCTCTCATTTTTTTGTTTTTGTTTTTGTTTTTGCCTTATGACCTACAATATATTGTTAGATTTCATCCATGGAGATGGGGGAGAGGGCATATTATTATCTTGCTATTATTCCAAGGATTTGTTCTGTGAAGTTTAGATTCAGTCAAAGGGTGGCACTTGAGGACCTAGAGGGCCCCATGTGGCCTCAAGGACACAGGTTCCCCACCCCTGGATTAGATCATGGTCTACTTTGTATCTCTAAAGAAAAAGAACTTCTGGGGCAGCTAGGTGGTGCAGTGGATAGAGCACGGGCCCTGGAGTCAGGAGGACCTGAGTTCAAATCCAGACTCAGACACATAACACTCACTAGCTCTGTGACTCTGGTCTGGTCGAGTCACTTAAACCCAGTTGTCTCACATAAAAAAAAAAAAACATAATAAAAAAAATTTTGAAAAGAAAAGGAACTTCCTGAAATAGCTTTGCCAAATTGTCATTCACTCTTGCTCTACTATCTTACAGGTAAGGCTAATCTAGCCTTAATCACAAGAGTGAATGACAATTTGGCAAAGCCATTTCAGGAAGTTCCTTTGCTTTAGGCCATCTCGAGCCATTCTGATCTGTATGTGGCCACTGGACCCACACGGATCCAGGGGAGAAAGTGAGGCTGGTGACTTTGCACAGCCCTCTTTACTTAAATCCAATTTACTTGCAAGTCATGGCATCACTTTCCGGATGTCATGGTCCTCTTTGAGAACGAAGGACAAATAACAACAACAGCTAGCCATTCTTGTCATTTTACTATCAATTAGACATTGCTACTTCAAGGGTTCGAGCTCTGCTATTAAAATGATGCAGGAGGTGGTGTCACAAGCCTGTTATTCACAGTTATGGTGAAAAGCTTAAAGTCTACTTGATGCCAGCAGAAAAGAAGTTATCACATCCTGCCTATCCTACTCCCCATCAGAGCAGATCAGATCACCACTCAGCAGGCTGGCTTTGTAACAACATGGCAGGATTACAAAGGGTCTTTCACATTCATATGGCCCATGTTCCATAGCAGTGTGAACATGGTAAGGTAAGGGGTTTGTCTAGGACCAGGATTCCTGAAAGACAGATATAATGATGGGACAATGCCCCCATTCTCCTTTTCCTATCAGAAAGCTGTTGACGTTTGAAACAAACTGAGGAAATTTTAGGGCCACATATTGGAATTTGATTAAAGGATGATCCAGAAAGACCTAAGGAACTGATGTCCTGTTTCAGAGTCCATGTGAGATACCGTAACAGCAGTTCCAAATGTATTATAAATAAATCTGATTTCTCTAAGCTGGAAATGTTAATTCTGAAGCCTAAAACCCCAGCCATTTCTTAGTGGCCAGATAGCCCAGCATGGAATTACTTGGTTAACCCTCTCATCTTCCTCTCAACAGCTAAAACCCATAAATCTTTTCCCTTTCTTCTGGAGTTCCTTTTCACTTCTAAACATTTTCCAAAACATGTTTTGCTTTGTCTCTCCCCCCTTTCTTCCTCTATCATGCACTGCTTTGTCCAGTTTTTCCCTGAATCCTTCTCCACTTTTTCCTTGTAGTCCTAATGCTTTGCTTTATTTTAGTATTTCAAAAGATTTATGATTTTTATAGTCTGGAGACTTTTCTAACCAAAGCAGATCACAACTTGTGATTTTCTTGTGATCTGGCCAAAAAGACAAATCAACACCTTATCTCCATGTAATCTGCAATCCAGTGACATTGGTCTCCTTGCTGATTCCTTGGACAACACATTCCATCTCCCATTTTCACTGGCCATCCCCCTTTCCTGGAGTTCTCTCCCTCCTCATCTCTCCCTCCTGGCTTTGCTGCCTTCCTTTGAGGCTCAGCTAAAATCCTATTTTTTATAAGAAGCCTTTCCGGGTCCCCCTTAATGTTAGTGCCACCCCTCTGAGACCAGCTCCAATCTACCTGCATATATCTTGCTTGTACATAGTTGTTTTTATGTTGTCTCGTCCGTTAGACTGCGAATTCCTTGAGAACAGGGATTGTCTTTTGCCTTTCTTTGTATCGCCAGTGCTTAGCACAATGCCTGCCCAGAGTAGATACTTAATAGATGCATGTTGTCATCCTTTCGGTCGTGGAACTCTGATCATAGCACTGCTGGTCCTTGGATGACAGATACACAGTTTATCGATGGGCGTGTACCTGAAGCCAAGTTAGCTTGCTCTATCCTGACCCAGTATGCTATGCTGGCATAGCCTTTGAGAATTCAGCATCCTTTCCACAGCCAAATAGGCATGTAAGTAAGGCTGAGCTGAAAGGTCCTAATTTAAAAAGAAAAGAAAAATGTCTCCTTGGAAGTCTGGTATAGGATACAAATATCTATCACACTGAAGGATCTAATTAATTGCAGAACAAAAATACTACCAGTCCCTTTGCCCATTGTAAATACATTTATTCCTATTTCCTCTCCTCCTGTACTGTGCTTAAACAGGGCTACTTACTGGAACTAGATTTTCTATTTACCTTGTCCTGATGACTTGTCAGAAACTCATCTTTGACCACACACTGTCAACATCTCAAAGTCATAGAAAATGCAAAGGATCTTACCCAGTGATTCAGTTCTTTGGTTGAATTTTAAATCCATGACGTTTGTTTGAGTGGGTTGAAAATCTCTTTGAACATGTGCTCCCATCTCTGGAGGGAAGATTAATTACTGCCGTTGCTGCTGGTTATGCCTGAAGCTTTCAGCAATGAAATGAGGGTGAAATATTTTTGGCTTTTACAGTTGGTATCTGACAAAGAAAGAGACTTTTTAAAAAAAATCCCACAAAACAAAGCTAGGTGTAATTTATAACGAGGTTACTTTATTTTCTATGTCATTTTGGGCCAAACAGCATTTGTTGTGGGTTGAGAAATGACAGAGTCAGGTGAGATGGTCTCCCCCACACACTAAGTTACCCTAATCATGCTCCACATACATTTCTGAATTAGTTCCAGCTACTTAGCATCACTGCAGGACAATTTAGACTGCCATTGTTTGAGTCTTCAGCATAGTCTCTGATGATGGATTCCTATAAAAAGCAAAAGCCATTATTTACACACAGTAGGAAAATAAACCTTCTCCCCAGCCTAATGCATGGAGATTGGGAAAGCTTTTCATTTTAGACAGTTGGAAATTTTGCATTCAAGCAGCTTTGGGGACTCTTTTAATCAATGTCCCCTGGAAAAACAAATTTAGAAGTCTGTTCTTTCAATTCTGTAGGGCTGAAATGTAAGTAAGGGTATTGTTTCTCCAAGCCTCATGGTGTGATAGTCAACATAGAGTTCTAATAAAATACAGTTAACTGGCAGCTGCTATGTCAAGGCATTTTAACAATAAGTGAATGGCCCGGATTCATAAGGAAGTGATGGTGGGGCTACAAGGGAAAGACATTTCCTTCCTGTGTTAGGGGAAAATATTCCCATTTCCAGGTGATGGAAGGTATGTTTATAACCACAGCACTCATATTTTCCTGACCAATACAGCAACTCAGTGGTGTTTTCTGGGCCATATTTCAAACCACTCCCTTAAAAAGGAATGACAGTAGATTGGGAAAATGTGAACACAAGTTGTCCTTTCTGGACAGAGTCCTCTGCACATAGGGGAAGCATTTGGGCGAAGGAGGTTGTACAGAAGGTGAGACCAGTGCTGTAGGGGGTGCACATTATCACTGGTGATGATGACATAAGGAGGACTATGTCAACTCAGGAGAGAGTCTGGAGAAGTGAAAAAAAAGGACTCAGAGGCTTGAGTGGTCTCAGTGACCAAGGGAAAGTCACTTGCTTACCTTCTATGAGAAAATCAACTCAAAGTGCTTTCCAAATCTTGAAGTGCTTTATTAATGTTATTTTTGTCATAGCTATTTTTACTAATACTGCGATTCTTTGAACCTCACTTTCCTCACAGGTGAAATGAAAGTAATATTGCCTGCCTCGTCTGTCCCATGTGATTATTATGAGGAATATATGAGACAGTGGACACAAGAGCATTTTATGAAACTGTGAAATGTTGGACCATGCAAATGCAAAGAACTGTTATCAACCAGAAGTCACTGTAATAGCCGTGCTGATGAGAGAAAGAGAACTATTTCCTCTCTATGGAGACAGTCGGTGATCCTTCACATATTTGGAGAGCTCCGATTCAGCCAGGGCACTTTGGATTTCTCCTTTCTATCCCCAATGACACAACTAGTGGGGATTACTTGATTCTGAAGCTTAGAAGCTGCCCTCATGGCCAGTCTTTCTGGGAAGGTATTGATCAATCAGTCAATCAACAGGCATCTATTAAGGGTCTACTATGTGCCAGGAACTCTACTAGGCAGTGAAAATATAAATGTAAAGAATTAAATACAGGCTCTCCTGGAGCTTACATTCTAACAGGAGAGGGAAGAGAAGTATATGTATAAACATTTATTAAGTACCTTCTATGTGCCAGACACCATGTTAGGTGCCTTACAAATGTTATCTCATTCTATCCTCACAATAACCCTACGAGGTAAGTGGTGCTATAGTCCCCATTTTACAATCAAAGAAACTGAGGCAGATGGGGTTAAGTGACTTGCCAAGACTGTCACAGCTAGTAAATGTCTGAGGCCAGATCTGAACTCTGGTCTTTCTGATTCCAAGTCCAGTGCCCTACCTAGTGTGCCACCTACCCCCACAAGGGTGTGTGCGTGTGTGTGTGTGTGTGTGTGTGTGTAGATAGATCAGCTAGATAAATGATAAATATACAGAGAGGTTAGATGGATGGATGGATGGATATTCTGTGCCTATAAAATGTATACAGAATAAATACAAATAAATACAAAGAAGTTAAATATGAAATGGTTGGGGATGAAGGGTACTAGCATTGGGAGGATCAAGAAGGTCTTCACGTGGAAAGTATTGTTTGAGTCTGTCTGGAAGGGAGGGATTCTATGAGGCACAGATGAAGAGGAAGTGCATTTCCAGGCATGGTGGACATCTAACACAAAGGCATGGAAACATAGATAGAGTGTCATTTGTGAGAAACAGAGAAGGCCAGTTGGACTGGATCACAGGGTACATAATATACAATGAGTCTAGGGTGGCAGTTGAGATTTTTGCCTGTGGGCAGACAGACTGCAGCATGGTACTGGACATAGCACAAAGACTTTTGAGGGATGATAGGAAAAAGAGGCAGGGCTGAGATGGCCTCCCCATCACTTCTTCCCCCACTCCCTACCCACACTTTGGAACCTCTTGGCTGGCCACCAGAATAAGCCTCCTCAGGGACAGCGAATCATTTGGACTAGCTGTACGAACTAGATGTGAAATTTAGGCCTAGTACAATGCAGTATTTCTCACACTTCGTTGGGGGGGGTGGAGGGAAGAGGGTGGACTCCCCCAGGAGGTTTGTGGGAAATCTTAAATGAGTTATTGAAGGGCTCTACCAGAGTATAAAATTGCAAGACTCCAAACAGCTGTTGGAAGGCAATCTCCTTCAGCCCTTGGGCCCTTTCCCAGTATTTTCATCCCCCCACCCCCACCCCACCCAGTTTTCAAGAATCAAACAGAGCTGGTTGTAGGCAAAGTAGCAAAGTTGATGGTTTAACTACATTGTGCCCAGCCTCCCCTTTTTGGCCATTCTCCCCCTGCTTCTGCCACCTCTCACTAGTTTTAGTACCTAGGACCTTTCTCTTTGCCACAATCTACTAACACGAAAGGCTATGCTCTCAGCCATTAATGCATTAGTACAAATTCAGGTCAGTGTGTTGACTTCCCCAAGGAGATCAGAGATCTAGAACTTTAAAGGACTTTGGAGATCATCTAATCCAACTGTTACAGATGAGAAAACTGAAGTTAGGTTACCCCTTAAGCCATGACTGCCACAATTCATAGTGTCTGGTTTGTGGTTTCTGTGACCCTTCTTTGGAAACTGCAAACCCTGTCCTTCCTCTGGGGAATGCAAATGAATTTATATTGCTGGCTAGAAAGTGTATACATGGATATACATATTTATGCAAAGCCATATTCATCATTGAAGCCTTTTCTTCCATATTAGGATCTTTGTGCATTGGAGGTTTATTTCTTCCCTCTGCTGTACGATTGGAGTTATCATTCATGTGTATAATCCCAAGGGAAAAATTTTAAGTCCCTTTTTCAGAGAGGCTTTGGTTCCCACTTGCCTAAGGCTGTCCTCCTGGTAATGACTAGGCAATAGAGATTCACAGCTCTCTGGGAAGACTCACACCATATTAACTGGCTGCTACCTTATAGACCTTTGTTGTTGTTGTTCAGTCTTTTCAGTTGTGTCACACTCTCTGTGACCCCATTTGGGGTTTTCTTGGCAAAGATACTGGAGTGGTTTGCCATTTCCTTCTCCAGCTCATTTTACAGATGAGGAAGAGCCTCATAGCTCTTGGGATCATAGATTAGTTCCTCCATACCCCCTTGTTAGCCAACCCCTGGTGGAGAGTTGAAGATTCCAAACATATGATTCTCAACTCCCTCAATCAGTTACAAACCTCAAATATTCCAAAGAGTAGATTTGGAAGAAGAGGTCCTAGAAAACACCTTGCTTGCCTCCTGAACCCCCTCCCACAACCTAGCCCATTTCAGAGGTGAGACATTTTCTATATAGAAAAGGAAAGCTGGAAATCTGTCTTGTGAACTGCCATAGCACCACCCCAATCTAGTTGCAAAATTGAAGGACCCCAGAACCTTCTTCCAATTGCTAGCCCTCCTGAGGCCTCAATTAGCCACACAGAATAGCTATTTATATACCACATTTGGTCAAGGATATGTATGGGTTTCTCCTTAACATATGATCACTCATTTGGAGCGTTCTTTGCTGCCATATGTAGAGTTGAAATGGGTAGGGGAAACTGAAGAGCTCTTCTCATTTTAAAATGCCTAGAATCATATGATGAGGTGTGAGTGGCCCTGATGGAGGCCTAGCAAGTTAAATGATCTGCTCAAGGCCACACAGATCCTCTCATTCTAAATTCATAGATCATTGGCATTTGTATGCAACCCGAGTCCTAAAGCCCAATGGTATGGGATCTTCTCCTCATTGGTGGAAGTCAATGCCTACACCTGGGTGAGGATGAGAGCTTGTGAGAGAGGGAGAGAGGAGAGCTATTCAATTTTCTTTAGGTCTTTGGACATACTTTGAATTTCTTCAGGCTTTGGGTACTTCTGATTTCCAGCTTCAAGAGAAAACAAAGAAAAGGCCAATCCCACTCCAGCTTAACTAAAGGAAAAGATGGTAGGGAGAAGCCAGTGTGAGAGGAGCTGGCAATGTCCATCATGTTCCTATCCCCAGCTTGCTATACTAGGGACTCCAGGGAACTTCCCCTTGCATGAGATCTGGGAGTCTCTTAGTTTACCTCTCTTAATGGGAGAGTTCCTCTTCTCTCTATTGTCTGGCATATATACACTCCTATGTATACTTTCTCTGATTCCTGTCTGACTGTAATTTAGATGTGTGGGTTTCTTTGCTAAGTGCTATGTGTTTTCATTGTGGAATTGGTATTTAGTGGGGAAGGAGTCAAGCCTTGTGTATAAATCTTGATGTACTGATTCCCCAATTAATGACTAGCAATCAGAAATTTAGCTTGAATATGAACATATTCTCTAGACTAACAATATTTAAGGGAACAGATAGAATTCTAGCCTGTTATCATTTCTGTCTGAGGGGAATAGAGTAGCCTGGGGCACAACCTTCTGTTTCCTCTCCTGGCAGGAAATAAAGTGTCCCTTGGAGAAAGGTGGGAAGAAAAGGGACTAGAGATGTGTATTCTGCCTCCCTTCGAACCACAAAAATGATCCTCCTGTTCCTCTCCCGTGCTACATTTAGGAGAAACTCTTGCAACACGTATTTTAAAACTTACCATTAATTATGGAAATTAAAGGCTTTGTGCCCTGTCAAAGGAATGCAGGAATCACTAAGCCAGTCCAACCAAACTGGCCCACTAAGATGTTACCCAGATTTGGCATCCTATCTCCTGTTTCTGCACCTTAACATAGGACACCCCTCTAATTGTCCTTGATGTCTGCCTCTGCCTTTTAGAATCCCAGCTTCCTTAAAGGTGCAGCTATGGAAGGAAGGAAGGAAGGAAGGAAGGAAGGAAGGAAGGAAGGAAGGAAGGAAGGGAGGGAGGGAGGGAGGGAGGGAGGGAGGGAGGGAGGGAGGGAAGAAGGAAGGAAGGAAGGAAGGAAGGAAGGAAGGAAGGAAGGGAGGGAGGGAGGAGGAGGGAGGGAGGGAGGGGGAGGAAAGGAAGGAAGGAAGGAAGGAAGGAAGGAAGGAAGGAAGGAAGGAAGGAAGGAAGGGAGGGAGGAGGGAGGGAAGGAGGATGAAAGGAGAAAGGGCAGAAGAAAGTGATGGAGGGAAGAAGGAAAGGAGGAGGAAGGAAGGAAAGAAGAAGGCAAGAAAAGAGGAAAGGAAGAAAGGGAGGGAGGAATGAAGGCAGGAAGGATGGGAGGGAAGAAAGAAGGAGGAAAGGAAGGAAGAAAGGGAGGGAAGGGAGCACGAAGGGAGGGAGGGAGAGAGAGAGGAAGGAAAGAAAGAAGAGAGGGTGGGAGGGAGGAAAGAAGGAAGAGAAAGGAGGGAAGAAGCATTTATTAAGCACTTACTATGTGCCAAGTACTATGCTAAATGCTGAGAACATAAATAAGAGAAAAAAAGAAAAACAATTCCTATCCTCGAGAAACTTACATTCTAGTGGGGAGAAGGAGAGGAGAGGAAAGGGCCCGGTGAGGGGACATGGTTTTGAAATCCAGAAAATCACGAACAGAAGAATGAAGGCAGGCTGGCATGGGCCCTTCCATAAAATGGAGGCTCCTAGAGGAGCTCACCAATGGGAGGAAGGGGTTGGCCTTGCAGAGGGTGTTCCAAGGTGACTGGGCCAGAGGGAAGGTAGACTGTTCCAGGGCAAGGAGGTCCCAGGCTTTGAGAGACGCTCCAAAACAAGTCAGCAGTAGAGAAGGCATAGTTTGGAATCCAGAAATTCAGGAACAGGACCTGGAGGAGAATTGAAGGACTTAATTTGCTCTATATTCCAGCTAAATTGAACTACCCAATGTTCTCTGAACTGAGCTTTCTTGTAGCTGATTTTTATCATACTATTCCCTTCACTGTATTCCTTTGCATTCTCCAGTTCAAATCCCACTATCTACTGGGGCCTCTTTAACATGCCTCCTCCTCCATGAAGCTTTCCCAGATAACCTCAGTTCCTCTACACCTTGTTTATGAACTTACCACATTCTACTTTGTGCTACATTTATTCAGGAGAATATTTTTTTCTTCCTAAGGCCTTAGAAAGTTAATTACCACGATGGTGAGGATTTTTGTTTTCTCCTCATCTTTATATTTATCTTAGCACCTAGCACAGTGCCCTGTACACAGTAGATATTTAATATATCTGAGTGAATGAAACATTGCTATGTTAGGATCATAGCTCAAGAGCTGCAAGACACCTCAGAGTAGTCTAAACCCTTAATATTATAGATGAGGAAACTGTAACAGGTAGAGATTGAGCTAGAATATGAACTCATGTGACTCCAAACAAAGCCCTCTTCCCCTATACCAAAAGATGCCTCATACTGTTAGTTGGGTCAATACCCCCTCTGGAACAACACCTCTCCTGTAATTCTGATTAAGTGAGCTCAGTTCCCACTTCCAAATTGGCACCTAGAGCTCCTTGTCCAGGCTTCATACCTGATCTCCCCATTTTATTTTCCTGCTTTTTTCTTAAAAAAGAAGTATCTGTAGAATAATGGCTAGAGAGCTGGCTTTGGAGCCAGGAAAACATGACTTCAAGTCCTGACACATACTGGCTGTTTGACCCTGGCCAACTCACTTCTCCTCTCTCAGTGTTCCAGGCAGCTCTCTTCTTGCAGAGAAGGTGCAGGTATGCACTGATAGACAGGGTGTTTTTTTTTTCTATCTGGGAGTTCCATTTCTTATCAATGAAATCACAGCCCCCGTCCCTGGCCCTATAAACAGTGAAAAAGATTATACAAAAGATGAAGAAAATCACTATCTTCAATGACATCACCATTTGGCTCTGCCCTAAGAACGTGGATAGAGAGCTGGGTGTTGGAGTCAAGATCTGAATTCAAATTTTGCCTCAGATACTAGTGTGACCCTAGGCAAATTATTTAACTTCTTTCAGACTCTCACCTACAAATTAAAGGGTTTGTACTCAATAGCCCCTAAGGTCCCTTCTGATTCTAAATCTATGATGTTGGATCTTTTCCTTCCCAAAACTATCACAATGGGGACCCCACTAATACAGGGAGGTCCCAGACACCCTCCCTTTTATTCAATGGTCAACTTCTTGCCAATTGCCTTACCGTTATTATTACTATGCTTTACTAGTGAGCCAACACCACCCCACCCATTTCTGATTCTGGGGCCATAATCAGATCAATACAACATTCCTCTTGGGAGTCTGCTCATCTCTCAATCTCTTCACCAACCTGGTAAGTTTCCAAACCAAAATACTCTTCCCAATACAATACTCTCCTAACTGTACTGTCTTCCTCTATTAGAATGAAAGCTTCTGGAGGGTAGGACAGGTCTTCTGTTGTTGCTGTATGTGTTGGGTTTTTTTTTTATATTCCTAGTGCTTAGCACAGTGCTTAGTATATAGTAAGTGTTTCACAAGTATTCATTCATTCATTCATAAGTTTAGAACTTTAGAATTCATATAGTTCAATCCCCTCATTTTACAGATAAAGAAAATGATGCCCAGACAATTAAACAACTTTCCTAAGGTCACACAGGCAGTAAATGGAAAAAATCAAAATTTGAACTCAGTTCCGGAGACTGGACCTGGTCCTGGACCAACACTCTTTTCCCTATAATGTAATTAACATCTAAGTAGGAGCAAAGCAAAACTGTCCAGTGGCAGTAACTGAGTTATACATCTCAGGTAGGAAATCACAACAGAAATGACCACCTGAAAAAAAGGGTCATTCAAAGCTGCATTTAGATTTAATTGCTCCAGAAATTAGGAAATTGTAGCTTCTTGTCTTATTATATGTATGCCTTTTAAAACTTTTTGTAAGACTCCTAGGGGACTGCTGCAAGCATTCATCAGGGCTGCAAGCAACAGAGACAGCCTGATTTCCTGCCCTCATGGCTCCATTTTAAGTGTAAGGCTTCATTTTTAACACCCACTGAGTGTGCCAGAGAGATTCTATATGACCTGAATAAGGTCACTCATATTTGATGAATCCTCCTCTCTGAGCACAATAGTGGAGACTTCTGAGTAGGAAACATGACCCAAGTCATGCATGTTAAGGGAATAGTTTGTTACTACAAATACAGTTATGCCTTCCACGTTGTGACTTTTCCCATCACAGCTTCCATATGTTGTGGGTCCACATAAAAAAATTAAATGGGAGTTTTTTGGGAGTTTTGCAGAAGCCACAGATGATGCATGAAGACCAGAAACATAGAAAGTTTAGAAACTCAGAAATGCACAAAATATTTGTACAGTATTATATAATATCTTATTGTATTATATAATATATTATATAATAATAATTAATAATATTGTATGATAATATATTACATATTATATATCTTATTGTATTATATAATATATTATATAATATTGCTAATTAATAATATAATATGTATAATAATGTAACATATTACATATTATATAATAAAATATCAATTTCTTTTTAAGGTTAAAATAAGTAAAAAAGTTAAAGTTTATGAAAAGAACGTGAAAGCCAACAGACAACACACAGAGGCTAGAAATGCAGAGATATCTTAGAAAGTTTAGCAATTCATTAATCCATAAAATGTACATGCTGCTATGTATAATGTTACCCATACAGTATGTATTTTACTATTTAATAACATAAATGAACAGCTACCTTTTTTTCCCTTAAATTAAATTTATAGCACAAGAAGTGCAATTCTACACCCTGGTTTGGGGATGCCAAGCATGTTCACGACAATCTCTCAGGTGACATTTCGAGGTGATCTTTGTACCTCGAGTTTTTTGTATCATTTGTTGTTTGAATTGCAAAGGGAAGGCCAAAAATTTGTATGTGGATTTCCCAGATCGTAGGGGTCACCACACCCCTAACCTCCAGAAAGGAAGGAATAACCATTTTAAATGGAATATTAAGTTTCCAGGACAAGATTTTATTATCATTATTATTATTTGGCAGTAAAGTTCAGTGGAGAGAGGATTGAATCAAATCCTGTCTCTGTCATTTGCTACCTGTGACTTTGATCCCTTTAACTCTCTGGACCTCCATTTTTCCATCTGTAAAATAAGAGGGTGGTGACAGATGACTTCTAAAGTCTCTTTCAGCTCTGATCCATGATCCTAACCTGAACAGATAACTGTCTCCTTGTCCTCTTGTTGTTGTTCAGTCATTTCAGTCATATCTGACTCTTTGTGACAACATATGGGCTGTGTTTTGGGGGTTGTTTGTTTTTTTTTTGCAAAGATACTGGAGTGGTTTGACATTTTCTTCTCCAGCTCATTTTACAGATGAGGAAACTGAGGCAAACAGAGTTAAGTGACTTGTCCAGGGTTACACAGCTAGTAAGTGTCTGAGGCTGGATTTGAACTCAGGAAGATGAGTCTTAGCACTTCTAAATTCCTTGTCTTCAGTTTTTTCCTGTAATTGCTGATTACCCTGCTCTAGTCAACAAATGTTCACTGCTAATACCTCATGTGACAATGAAATTAATTTTGCATTAGATGTCACTGTCGGCTTCTTACTCTTCTCTGCTCACAGCCATGCCCTCTGCCCATCCTTCACTCTTTGCTCATAATTTCACACTTCTGGCTGGGCAGGGCCTAAAACAGAAGAAAGCAGAGTTGAGGCCTCATGGAAAGAATGATGGAGCTGATTGTTGATGGTAGAATGGAGGAGGATCAGAAGTGGGCTGTAGTTGGTGTTAGAAACCAGTTAGGAAATTCAGCAACCCTGCAAATGGGATGGGTGTCCCCAACTCTAGAAACCCAGACTGGAAGTCAAAGGATTCATTGGATTTTGAATCGGAAAGGACCTTGAAGATCATAAAGAATGTTTATTGATTGATTAATCAATCAATCATGTGATAAAGCTTCCTAATTTTTTTAATGGAAGAGGAAACTAGGGGCCAAAGAGGTATGATGACTTGCCCAAGGCCACACAACTAGCAGTAGAAAGCAGAATTTGAACCCAGGTGTCCTGACTATAGACTGGTGCCCTTTAAGGCTGTGTAGTAAGCCTTGGCCTGTTTGCTGGGATCTTGATGAGCAGTGTACTCTGATTCCTATTTCTAGGGTCTCCAGAGCTGAGAGGGAAGCATTTTGGCTTACTGTCTCTCTTCTTTATTCTTCTCCCTCCTTCTCTCGGTTTCCCCTTCCATCTACCCCATGAACCAATGCCTTCTGGCTTTCCAAAGTCCCACCAAGGGCTACCCTCCCCCACAGTACCCCAAACCCTAATATTACTCCTCCCATCCACTTATAGAATGCTGTTGTCCCATGATGGGGATCCTTTAGTCCCTGCATGTAGGTGGCCACCGCTTCTGCCTACGCTTATGACTGCCACTGATTGTCATCAGATCCTCCAAAAGCCCAGCCCACCTGGTCCCATCTCTCTGTAACAGTTTGTTACTACCTCCATTCACAATTTCTAGGGGCTTATTTGATACAGTCCAGACAGAATGGGTCTCAGGAAGGAAGATGAGAAGCAGCTGAATGTGGGCCTTTCATCTCTAGCTGAGAACTTTTTATTTTCTGGGGGAGCTAGGAATTCTTAGCAAACAGAAGACTTAAGGTAGATAAAGGACCATGGGGTGAGTGAATCAACCAATCAATATCCATTCATTAAGGGCTTACCATGTGACAGACATTGGGCTAAGTTCTGGGGAATCAAACAGAAAATTGAGATGGTTCTTGTTCTCAAGGATCTCAATTCTAATTGGAGGGAGGGGACACAAACAGAAGGGTGCAGCTTCAGGCCTGGTGTTCCTTAGGATGCTGCAGCAAAGCGGATGGCAATGCCCAGGATGCCTCTGGCACAGCTGCACTGTAGCCGTAAGGACTGGCCATGCAAAGAGACTTCAACAGCAGAGGTGATGAACTTGCTTGGAGGGTGGGAGCTTGAGAACACAGCTGTCAGGCATCTGGTAAGGTCCAATGGTCAGAGATCTTATTGGACCAATTGTCATGAGTAACTCTGCTCAGTGAATCAGTTCAAGCTTCTGGAGGGTCTTAAACCTATTATAGTCAGGAATTAGAGGGTGAAACCTCATTATGGAATGGAGCAAGAACTCTGGGCTCCTTCCTATGTGGTGGGGTTGGGAAAATTGGTGTCCAGCCGAAGGAGAGAAAAAGGAGAGAGAAAGGGAAATTCCATTGGGATCCGGGCAGGGTTGGGCTGGTTCCATGCCCTCTGAAACCCCAGTTTATCTACTCTGCACCTTCAGTACCTAATAAAATATAGGATAGAGTGAGGGAAGACCTCTAAGCAGCCTAGTCTGCTCTATACTCTTTATTGTTGGGTGGGATCCAGGTAGAAGGGACTTCATCTAGTCCAACCCTTTCATTTTATAGATGACATGGTAGCCATCTTCATGTATTTGAAGGACGGTCCTATGGAAAGGGAATTAGTCCCATTCTGTTTGGTCTCAGGGAGTGGAAGAACTAGACCAACAGGGAAAAGTTACAGAAAACTGATTTTAGCTCCATGGAAGAAAGAATTTCTTAATAATGGAACATGTTCCTAGCAGAATGGAACGCCTTGAAATATAGTCAGTTAGTGAAGGCTGGATGGCCACTTGCAAGGTGCAGTGGGGATTTATGTGCAGATTGGATTAGGCAGCCCCTGAGGGTCCTTCCAGTTGTCCCTGAGGATGATAAAGATTATCATAGCAGCTCACCTTTGCAGGCAAAGTTAAGTGACTTGCCCAGGATCACGTGGCTAGTAAGTGCCTGAGGCTCGATTTGAACTGGATCCTTCTGACTCCAGGGCTGGGGCTCTATCTACTGCACCACCTAGCTGCCCCAGTAGCTCACATTTTTATAGTGCTTTTCAGGTTACAAAGTGCTTTCTGCACAACAGTCCTATAGGTTATTTTCACATGACTATCCCCATTTTACCCTGTTCGTGGTTCCCTGTACAAGACATTCCATCTCAAGGCTTACATGAATGCCATGCCTTTGCACCCCATGCCTAGAATGCTTTCCTTCTTCATCTCTAGCTAGAAATCTCTAGCTGTTTTCAGGGCTCAGATCTACTACCACCTCCTACATGAGACCCTTTCCAACCACCGTAGCTATTACTGATTCCTGCCTCTATCCTTCCTCCAACTCCTATCCTTGGCTTCAAATCATGCTATTTGCCTTACACTGCTTTCTATTATTTATTTGCATGTATGCTCTTTCCCCCCAGTATAAGGTAAACTCCTTAAAAACAGGGCCTATTGCTAGGGTTTTGTTTTGTTTTGTTTTGTTTTCCTTCTATCTCCATTGCTTAACATAACACATGGTATACATTAAGCACTTTATAAATGCATGTTGAATTGATTTGGATATTTTCTTTCTTATCAACTTTTGCATGAAGAGTAAGCCAGATAACTCAATATGCTAATGCATAATTGCCCTTCCTGGCACATGGAAGTACTTTGTCCCTGAGTTCAATGAGCTTCCATATCATCAATCAATCAATATTTATTAAGTGCCTACTATGTACCATGCCCTGTGTTAAGTGTTGAGAACACAAAAAGAGGCAAAAGAGTAAGTCCCTGCCCTCAAGGAGCCCACAATCTAATGGGGGAGATATCATGCAAACAAACTATCTTCAGGGTAAATTTAAAGAATAAGCCAGAGAAGGAAGGCACTGGAATTAAGAGGGGATGGGGAAAGGCTTCCTGCAGAAGGTGGGGCTTTAGTTTAGACTTCAAGGAAGCCGAGGAAATCAGTAGGCAAAACTGAAGGAGAGCATTCCAGGCATGGAGGACAGACAGAGAAAATCCCAAAGCTGAGAAACAGAGGGTCTTATACATGAAACAGCAAGTGTCTCTGAATTGAAGAGTGCATGTCAAGGAGTAAAGTATAAGAATATTGGAAAAGTAGGATGGGGCTAGGTTACGAAGGGTTTTCAATGTCAAACAGATCATTTGGCATTTGATCCTGGAGGCAATAAGGAGCCAGTAGAGTTTACTGAGTAAAGGGGTAACATGGTCAGATCTGCACTTTTGGAAAACACTTTGGTGGTTAGGAAGAATGTATTGGAGTGGGTTGAAATTTGAGGTGGGCAGACCCACCAACAGGCTATTGCAATAATACAGGCATAAGGTGATGAGGGGTTTGCCCTAGAATAGTGGCAATGTCAAAGAAGAGTAAGGGGAGTATATTTGAGAGATGTTGGAAAGGTGAAATTGACAGGCACTGGTGACAGATTGGATATGGGGTTGGGAGGGAAGGGTGAGAGATGATAAATAGTCTAGAATAGCTCTTAGGTTGAGAGCCTGAGAGACTAGGAGGATGGTGGTGTCCCTATAGTGATAGGGAAGATAGGAACTGGGAAAGACTGGGGGAAAGGTAATGAGTTCTGACTTGATCATATTTAGTTTAAGAGGTCTGTTAGACATTCAATTTGAGATGTCTAAAGGGCAGTTGGAGATGCGAGACTGGAGGTTAGCAGGAAGGATGGGATAAGATATGTAGATTTGAGAATCATCAACAAAGAGATGGTTATTAAATCATGGGAGCTGATGAGATCACCAAATGAAGAAGTGTACAGGGACAAGAGAAGAAAGCCTAAGATAGAACTCTATAGGATGCCTACTGTTAGAGGATGTGATCTAGGTGAGGGATGTAGAAGAGAAGAGATGAGAAGGAGGAGTCAGATAAATAGAAGAACCAAGAGAGAGTGATGTTGCTGAAAACCTAGACAGAAGAGAGTATGAAGGAGAGGATAATCAAAGTGTCAAAGGCTACCGAATGGTCAAGGAGAATGAGGACTGAGAAAAGGTCTTTGGATTTGGCAACTAAGAGATCATTGGTAACTTTGGAGAAAGTAGTTTCAGTGGAATGATAAGGTTCGAGGGAAGATTGTAAAGGGTTAAGAAGAGAGTAAGAGAAGAGAAAGTGAAGGCACTTAATAGATGGCCTTTTCAAGTTTAACTACAAAGGGCAGAAGAGATAATGGATGATAGTGGGGATAGAAGGATCAAGAGGTTGTTTTTGTTTTTGTTTTTTCCAGATGAGGGAGTGATCAGCATGTGTGTAGGCAGTAGAAAATAGGCCGGTGAAAAGGGAGATAGTGAAAATAAGTGATAGAGTAGGAGTAACAGAAGGGGAAATCTATTGGAGGAGATGGGATGGAATGGGAGCACTTGAGCAGGTAGAGGGGTCAGCCTAGTATGGAGTAAGGCTATGAGACAAGGGTAAAAAGAGATAGTTGCAAAAGGTATATTAGTGATATGGGATGAGGAAAAGGGAAGAAGAGGGAGCTCATGGTGAATGGCTTCATTTTCTTCTGTAAAATATGAGGCAAAGTTCCTAGCTAAGAGGGTAGAAGAGAAGGAGTCATGGGGGATGATGAATAAGTTTTGGATGATGACCCATAGAATCCCTGGGATATAAGGGGAATGACCAGGTATGATAATGCTCATTATTGAGTGGTGGGCACCACTCTTCTTTTCAAAGGTGGCTGGAGATTGGACTGGAGTCAAATGCGGTATGAGATGAGAAGCATAAAGGCAGATGATTGGGTGGGAGGCCCAGCTTCACTACTCCTCTGCCCTCTGAAGAGTAGATATTAGGCAAGAAAGGTCATAGCAGAAGATGGGAAGTTGAACCTGCACAGCAGAACAAAGAAGTTTCATTTCTCACCAACTTTCCTCTTCCTCTTCCCTCAAGGGACAGGCTCAGCAGAAGATGGAAGACCTGAGGTCAAAGGGAAGGTTGTTTCTCTTTGCGCCAGAGGTTCTCCACATCCCAAATGGGAGATTGGGCTGGAAGCGATATCATCAAATGTATTTTCAAAATTCCCCTGAAAAATGTATAAGGAAAAGGTATAATTATTATATAATAACAAGATGCTAAATGAGTCTCAGGGAGTTTGAATGATTTGATATAGGTCACACAGCTAGCCACAAGCAAATTTAAGGCTAAGATACCATTCTCTCAGTAGTCCGATCTTGGTATTAGGCCACCTCTCTTTGCATGTTGAAGTATTTGAATGTCATTTGCTAAAGAATGTACTATTTGTGACCATTTTCAATATTTCAAGAGATGATCATCAAGGGAAAAGTTGGAAAGGTACATATATACACATGTATATCTATATGCATATGTGCAAGCATATAAGTACACTTACATATGTGCATATATATGTGTGTGTATACATTTCCAACTTTTCCCTTGGTGGCATCTCTTAAAATATTGAAAGTGATCATATATCTATAGACAATGACCTACAGGGGTCATTACTGTTTTCCAACTTTTCTCTCAGTGATATATATGTACACACACACACACACGCACGCACGCACACACACACACATACACACACACATATTAGTTATTTTTTAAAAAAAGGAAACAGAGTGAGTACCCATCTATTGGGGAATGACTGAACAAATTGTGGTATAAGAATTCGATGAACTATTATTGTGCTATAAAAACAACAAATATAATAATTATAATAATAATAATAATAATAATAATGATAATAATATTTATAAACTGCTTTTAAATTTCCTAATTGCTTTACATGGATCTTATTTAAGGCTTGCAACAGTCCTAAGGTGTAGATCTCACATTTGGCAGATGAGGAAACTGATGTTCATAAATTAAATAATTTGCCAATGTCAAACAAATAATAAGTCCCAAAGGTTGGATTTGAACATAGGCCTTCCTAACCCCACTATGCCTGCCCACTGACTCTCATATATGAAAAATTCAAAGAAATTTGGGAAGACTTATATGAACTAATGCAAAAGAAATAAGCAGAGCCAAAAGAACAATTTACACAATGACACCACAATCATAAAGGAAAATAAGACTGAAATATATCAGAATTCTGATAAATTCAATGGTGACCAATCTTGACTTCCAAGGACTGACAATGAGATACACCTTCCTCATATTAGTGGAAAGGTGGTAGACTATAGGTGTGGAGTGAAGCATACAATGTTGATTTGTTTTGCTTAGTTATAGGTTTGTTTTGCTTTATTTTTTTATAAGGAAGAGTTGGGAGTATCTTTAGGAAAGAAAAATGATAAAGAAGGTCATCAATAACATTTTTGTTCAGGAGAAAAAGACATTTATTTTATTAAAAAACCCAAACTTATTAGAATCCATAGCTTCCCAGTAGTGGTCAAAGTATTTGAACAAATAGTTCTCAGATGGAGAATTCAAGTTATCAGCAACCGTATGAAAAATGCACCGAACAACTAATAATAAGAAAAATGCAAATTAAAAAAACCTCAGATGATCAAATTGGCAAAGATGCCCAAAGAGGAAGATAGCAATCGTTGGAAGGCTTGTGAGTGGATATACTTTTAGTTGAACTGTGAATTCTTTTCAACCATTCTGGATAACAGTTTAAAACAATATACAAAAGTCATTATATTGTACATAACCTTTGGACCCAGCAGTAATGCTATTAGAATGTACCATAGGAAGGTCAAGTACAAAGGGAAAGGATCCATATGTACAAGAATGTTTTTAGCAGCACTTTTTTTGGTCAGGAAGCTTTCATCATCAATTTTATTTTATTTTTAATTTATATATAAAACAAGTGTTTCCATAACATAGTACAATAGCAGCACATTTTAATGTAGCAAAGAACTGTAAACAAAACAGGTGCCCAACAATTGGGGCATAACTAAATTAATTGTGAATCATAGATTTATAGCAAAAAAGGGAAAGGAAATTCGGGGTCATTTAGTTCAGCTCTATCATTTTACACATGAGGAAAACTGTAGCCTGCGAAGATGAAGGGACTTACTCAAAGTCATACAAGCAGTAAGCATCCAAGATGGCATTTGAATTCAGGTCCTTTGATTTTAGGAACTAAATTCTCTTTCTCCTGTACTACTTTGCTACTGTCAGAGTTACATGAAGATAATGGAATTTTAGCACATCCTATGAAATAATGAATATGATCAATATAGAAAAATATGGAAACATTTGTATAAACTTGTATAAAACTTGATGGAGAATGAAATGAGCAGAACTTGGAGAACAGTCTCTACAATGACCACAAAAATAGGGTGAAGGGAAAGAACTTTGAAAGAACTCAGTGCCTTGACCAAAACAGAGATCAAGTATGAGTTCACAAGTCTAGGGATGATGCATCCCACCTCTTAGCCAAAAGAGGTGAACAGGCTAGAGGTACAGAATCCCATGTGAATTTTCAGAAAAGACCAGTGGATTGTTCTGTTTTCCTTCACTAAACATAATTGTTAAAAGGAGGAGGGCAGAGAGAGGTGAGTTAGTGGGGGGTGGTCATCTTGGGGAAAATACAGCACTGATAAAACATTTTTAATTGCACAGATTAAAAAAGGAAAAGAATCCAAGCAACTTGGAAACATAACTGATAATATATGCTATTTTTAACAGTATCAAAGGAGACTCTACAAGCTTCCTTAGGTTCCTAAAGTGGAATATTGGAGAGGATATGAGATTTGGAAAGGCATCACGGTGCAGTGGGAAGAGTACTGGAAACTGGGTTCTAATCCCAGCTTGGACACCAACTTCCTTCCTGTCTTCCATTCCTCATCTATGAAAAGAAGGGTTTGGACAGAAACTATACTCAGAAGCATAGCTTCTGAGGCTCCTTCCAGTTCTAAATCTACGTTCCTTTGATCCTCTTGCTTACTACCTATGGGTCACACGGTAAATGACTTCATTTTTCTGTACCTCTGCTTACTCACATGTAGTATAGGAGATTGAATGAGATGTTCCCCAAGATTCTTTGCAATACTCAGTTTTACGGGTTCTAACAAATGATTGAAAAATATTCAGGGGCAGTTAGGTGGTGCAGTGGATAGAGCACTGGCACTGGAGCCAGGAGGATCTGAGTTCAAATCCGGCCTCAGACACATAACACTCACTAGCTGTGTGACCATAGGCAAGTCACTTAACCCCCCCAAAAAAAAAGAAAGAAAAGAAAAATATTCAGCATTGGAAAAGTCTTTTCTATAGGTAGCCTAGTCCATACTACAGCTGCTCTTTTTTTTTCTTACTGTGTCTTCAGCAGAGATAGAGAAAAATTAGTTTATCTCTTCTGTAAAATAGCCCTCAGAAACTTGAAACCAGGGGTGTGCTGGAGACAGCTCTTCTAGATTCTAGAAAGCCAATTACTAAATTTCTAGTGTGAGTTTTTACATCTTAGAATCAGGGCTTGATGTATTGTTTTCTTAATTGTTGACTTAATAAAATGATGGAGAAAATGTGAATGCAGATTATACTTAAAAGTGAGTGGTGTGCAGAGTTGTTCCCCTCCTCCCCCAGAGAGCCAGTTGTTAAATATTTACTGGTACAGCTTGAAACAGGTATTGCTTGAAACCCTTAAAAAGACACATTACAATAGAAAAAAACACTGGGTTTGAATCCTAGCTCTCAACTCCCTGTGTCACCTTGGGAAAGTCATTTTACATTTCTAGGCTCCATTTTCTCCATCTTTAAAGGTGAGGGGATTAGTCTAGGAGATATATAAAATCACTTTTAGCTCTAAAATGTTCTGATCCTATGCAATTGCCCTTTAGTACAAGATGGATAGACGGTATCATGGAAACAGTGAACATGAACCTGGACAGACTTTGAGAAATAACAGAGGACAGAAAAACCTGGAGTGCTATGGTCTATGGGATCATGAAGATTCAGACTGAATCTGAATCTGAGCAACTGAAGAATAAAATCTTTAGGCCCCTTCAAACTTGTCCTACAAATTGTTTTCTAAGCCTTGATTTTTAAGCTATGAATTAAGTAAACAGGAACCACAAACATCAAGAAAAATCTAGTAAGGTGAACTAATTGGGAGGAAAGACAGGTCTCCTAATAATCTGGGCACAAGGGTGTGAACCTGAGGTAATCCATACCAGAGACATCTGCATTGGTTTATAGTGGTCCAGGGAGCTCAGGCACAGAGTTTAGAGATCCAAGACCCTCCAAAGGGAACCCAGAGTGCCAGACCAGCCCAGACCTCCTCAGGGTTCTTCCACTGGGAGAGGGGGCCTGATTTTATCTTCAACCCTAGTGAATGCCCTCTTTTCCCCTCGCACCACCACTACCCACTACCTCGACTCTCTCTTCACTGAAATCAGCTATTAAAGTGATCTTCCTAAAGTACAGGTCTGACATTGCTACCTCCCCTATTCAATAAACTCCAGTAGCTCTCCATGACCTAGAGGATCAAATGTAAAATCCTCTAATTGGCATTCAAAGTCCTTCATAATCTGTCACCCTCCTGCATTTCCAGTGTTCTTACACCTTACTCATTCTCTCCTTTTAAAATTTTATTTTTAATTTATGGAATAAAACAAGATTTTCCATAACATAGTAAAATAAAACAAAATTATTGCACATGAAACTGCAAATCTACTACTCTACACAACTTGCTATTCCTTTCAACTATACAACAAAACAACAAAATTGTCATGTAATTTTCTTTTTTTTCTTCCCTCTACCCACCAGATGTGTTATTCTGTAATTATTCTATACATACTTCTATTATCACATTCCTTACTCATTCTCCATGTGCTCTGAGAACCAGTGATGCTGGCCTCCTTGTAGTTCCTGCAACAAGACACTCTAGCTTCAGACTGAGAGTCCTCTAGGCCTGGAAGGTTCTCCTGGCTTCCTTCAAGTTCCAGTTAATACCCCACCTTCTATGAGAAGCCATTACTGACCCTCTCTCCTGCCATCCCAGTTCATGCTAGTGCATTCCCTCTGTCAATTATTTCCAATTCATTCTGTACATATCTGATTTGTTTATCATTGTTTGCACGTAGTCTCTGCCATTAGACTGTGAGCTTCTTGAGG